TCAGCATATTTTTAAAAAGAATTTAAATAATTTCAACACAATGGAAATTAAATACACGCAATAGAATTATAAGGAAAACTTGCAAAATAAGAAAAATATAAAATAATCACCGGAGAAAAGCAATTTTAAAGATAAATAATAAATGCAATTATAACTAGAAATATTTCTTTCTTTCGGAATTAATGACGAATCGGTGTTATAAAAAATAATATCGGTTTCACTTTAAAAAGTGATGAAAATGCCATAAAATGGAAATATGACAATGTGAATGACACGTAATATGAAAAAAGTCACAATATAAAATGACGTAAATAAAAAAAAGTGACAACAAGAAATAGCCTAAAATAAACAATTGACTTTTATTTCGTATAAAATGTCATTTATTAAATAATATTTCTTTCCTATTGACTTAAATATGACAAATTTTCTGTGTCATATACCGAAAACATTGTTACTATTTATTAGTTTTAAGCATAAAGTTATTTAATAAATGGTCACATAATATGAAAGTTTCGTTAACGAATGTAGTCATTATTTAAGTAAAACGTTATATAAGTACTGTAAGAATAGACAATAGATGAGTTCGTGTTCCGAATATTAAATACATTACAAAATTGTACAATAAAAAAGTAATTGAAAGTACATATTTTATTTAGAATTTTTTATATACAATTAATTTTAAATTAATTAATTAAAAATAAAATTTATTCTGCAATAAACTAAGACAGTGGCGTTTTTTTACACTATGACTAACGAAACTGGTTTTGTAAGACTGTGCGCGGTATTCTTAACGATACGAGATGCATATCAGCAAACCTGTTACTCCACATCCTGGAAGGATACAGATAAACATATTCGTCTGAATATAGATTAGTTATGCCCTAAGCTATAACGTAAAACAGGTTATTTCCTTTCAACAAATAGTGATGTATTTAAAAATAAAAGGACCGAGTGGGTTTCCAAGCTGCAACTTATTTAGCAGTCATTATATCTGGCGCTAGAGTCGCTATTTAGGCTAAAACAAGTTGCATTATTCATTTGTTTAGTAAATATTTTTTCCATTTTTAAGCATTTTTATAACTTTTAATACCAGAAAAAGTAACAACAGCATGATGAATAATTGTTTTGTGTCTGGGTGAAAGTTCTCCTACTGCAAATCTGGTGAGAAGTGCGATATTTTTACACCACTTCACGTGTGTCTTCTTAACAAATAGGTGTATTTGCATTGTTCTATACTTATTTCATTGTATATCTATTTAAAAAAATCCATAGCTTATTCTGTAATGCATTTAAGCACCCATAGAAATTTAACTCAGATAAAATAATTTATTAATTTTAACAGTGCATAATGTATAGAATTTTATTTGATTCAATAATGAAAAACAGTTTTTGGGATGTCATACACCTTTGTATTTTTCACGTATTAAGTTGCAGTTCTCATGACATACACATTGTGTCTACATATTTCAGAATTTTATATGATATTTTTCACCACTATAAGTAAAATATGTATACAGATTTATTGATTGGCTAATGATATCTTTCTTTGTAAATATATAGGTCAATGTATATATATATATATTTTTACAAAAATGGCTGACGAATTTACACATTCAAAAATACTTAGACAAGAGTAATATGTTTTGATTTTCGCCAGGTAGAATGATTAGGAACAACAATCATCACATTTTAGTATTTTCTACGTGTTTATTAATTTGTAAAAATCTTTGGCCACTTTTTCAAAAAAGAATTTATGTATCTATGGCTTATCACCTGTGAACTTTTTAAACTGTCTTTTGCATATTTCTGCAAGGACACAGCCTGTAATAAATGGTTGTCTCTTCAATAGAAGGCTGTTGTTCCTGGTGATTCGATATAGTGAAAATCATGACATTTTAGTCTTTATTTCCCTAATATATATATGTTTGTGTGTGTGTGTGTGTGTGTGTGTGTGTGTGTGTGTTAATCGTTACGTGATATTCTAGCCATATATGTGACTACAATATCAAGTAACATGTGTGATAAACTCTGCATCTTTGCTATCACTGTCAATATATAATAATACTGTTTTAATTCTTGTCATCTTACATTTATTCTATTTCTTAATTAAACTTATCCTGAAATCGAATTCCTACTCTTACTTCTAATAGGCCAATCTGATTTCAAAATCGGTCCATCTGAATTCTAAAAGTCAGATCTCTATTGACTTTTAATTAACCTTCCTCCTCTGTAATCTGTTCCTAACGTTCTTTGGTTCATCTTTAATTACTCTCTACAGTATGTCATTAATAAACATAATAATAATTTTAAGCTTCCTTATCACCGCATCCTCCGAAAAAAAAAATAAATATGGGCATAATATTAAACGGTGATAGACTCCAAAATTCACTGTAAACAGTCTTTTTGAAACGATTTAACCTATCCCTATACTTGTCCTAACATAATACAACTATAAAATGAAATATTCTCTATATAAATTATGATAAGAATTTCGTTATGACTTAATCTTAATTACAATTATATTTTGTCTCCAATTATAATGGGATTCTCCATATTATACAATGCTCACTTGCGGTCACGTTGACAGAACCACTAAATACCAATTGTGTGGTTCATGTCCAACCAAGGAGCGTACCACGTGGAGTCTCTGGGTATTTATACGTTTGTAACACTAAATAAAAGGCAATATTCGAAGAAGGACCGCTATATAAAAGTTAGAAAAGCACTACAGGAGGAATCCATAGAAAGCACTACTTTTTTTGTTTTGTAAGGGTCTTTAGTAGCGAGCTCATTATGGGTTCGTCCACGTCCACAATGGCCCGCCCAACTTTGCTGAATATATAAACCCCGGTCCATCACTACCCGGCAGACAGACCAACCCCCAAAATTTCCTAGGAATTTATCAACCCGTGCGGATCCAAATTCAACTCACCTTGTGCGGTAGGCTTCCACTTGGATCGTTGTCCGTAGTACAACAAATATTTTAAATGACATAAAATATAATTGTAAACAGAAACTTAATTTACTCAAGAAAGTAATTATTTTAAAACAGATATATGCATTATTGCAAATAAAATGATTTTCCCTGGAAATGGGCAACGGATCTCATTGAGATAAGCTAAAAGTTTACAATGACATATTTTGAAAATTCCTGAAATTACTAAAATATTTCAGGTCAAATTTTCAAATTTTATCCCGCTTTTCCTTAGCAGCTATGCTGCATTTATCGCTTATAATCTATTAATTTTGAACATAAACCTTTATCGAACCATTTATGACAGTATTAAATGCAATAGTTAAAAATTTATTTTGCTCTTTACATTCAGTTAAAAACATTCTCCTTTTGATTTTAATATTTCAGCGTTGCCAGTTAAGAAATGAACCCAATAAGAAATTTTTATAATTCCTATTCAATGAAACTTTCACATTAAGTGGTAGTTCAGCATATGCTAGTGTGAAGTTCCTGAAAAAAACTCCATTGTTAAAACCGATCAAAGATCCGATTCCGTTGCGCTTGTCATGTGAAACAGCGACCAGAAAAAAATGCTATTAATGTAAAACTTGACGCAATAAATGTATACGAGCGTCCTCTAGTAGGGAAGGGCCATTGACAAGGGACTTAGCAATTAGAACACAGTGAAATTTTTAAAAAGAAAAAAGGTTAATTACATCGCGTCGGATCTTTAAAATTCTAACTTCATAGACTAGACAACAACAAGGGAATATGAGCGAAAGTTTAAATTCCCGTCAACACCCTTTGTCAAGGATGGTATCGGGTAGATTATCCGAAGCTGAACTTCTCGTCACCCGAACAGGTCTTGTCTTTCACTTGAACTACCTGAACAGTCGTAGTTAGTGTCGAATCAATTAGTTTAAAATCTTAAACGAGTTTCGAAAGTTTTTAAATTAATAACTTATTATAGTTTATCTACTTTTTATTCATTTTTAACAAAGAAATAAAGGTTTACTAAATGAAAAAATTCAACGAGGTATATCATTCCCATATGAATACAATTGAATAATATCGAGCTTAACTAAAGTTACACCACTGAACGTTGAATATATTGTTAAATCGTGAGTTATTAGGAGAGTGTATTATTAAACCTTCGAGAGAGAGAGTTTACAAATATTAAGATGTACTACTTCAACTGTATATCTTGAGCTATATCTTCGGATCGACGACGAAGCTTTGATGAGGCGAGACGACGTCAGTGGAGGTAAAGAGAAGTATGATGAGCAAAGTGGAAACAATCTTCTTATTTGGCAGTGCACAAAGTTATATTTTTAGTCTGAAACATTCTTCTATGTGTTTATGGATGTCTTCTATGGCATCTTCATATTATGGAGGACTGCCTGTCATCTATGTGACAATGTCAGATTTCTATTCTGCCGTCTGTATGGCACATCTCTTCTTTCGTAGACTACCCAGATAATGGCGGGAAAATCGCCCTGTTTATCGACTTTCTGACCAATAGCAATCCTCGATTCAACTCTGCTGACAGGTTACAGAGGGGTAAATAGCCAGATCTTTTCACTAACATAAAAAACAAACTGTTTTAAAGAAAAGTTGATTTCCTTTTCTCTCGTAAAAGTGTCGAATGTCTTCCTTTTTTCGTAAGCATTTCCAAAAAAAAAAAACTGAATATATTTCCCACGCTAATTATGATAAAATCCCATATCTCACAATCGTAAGTTTATTTAAGAAAGCATATTATAGATAGCTAAATGACAATGGATTAGGCAAGGCATTCTAAACCTCGATAAAACCCTCTGGTGTTTACAACACTGCGAATTCTTTCCAGTACCTCTACAGTGGTAGTATGACACAGTAATTACTCAGCCATTCGAAAATGTAAATAATTTTTAGAATTTCTATTGATTCAAACTGTTTATAATTAGATGAATTTAACTATAAATTAATATTGCTGATAAAATAATGATACCGATTTTTACAGATCTAATTTTCGGATTAATTTACCATTAGAGCATCACTTTCAATTATGGCTATGTGTAAGAATAAAAATTGCAATGTTATCTATGTCAAATTATCGGCAATTTTCCGTCGTTTTGGGTATCGAGTCGCACAATATCCGTTATGGTTCATATTTGTGCCTATCGTCGTTACAATCATCTCAACAGCTGGCTTTTTTCGTTTGAAATTAACTACAAATGTCCATTATTTGTTCTTTAATTCTGACAGCAGAATCGTGCAGGCAAAATCCGTAATCGACAACTTGTATCCAAAAAATTACACAAATTATGATATTCTACGATCAACCGAATTTGAAAAATATGGAGCTGTAATAGCAACTGCAAAGAATGGACAATCTATGTTTTTAAACAGTACTTTTGAAAAATTAGATATCTTGGATCAAGAAATACGCAATATGACAATACAGTGGAATGGTAGAAGTTTAAAATTCGCTGATATCTGCTGTAAAATCGACGGACAATGTATTCAAAATGATATATTGAAGATGAAGAGCAGAATAGTGGATTTCAAGAATGGAAATTTCAAAATAAGGTATGAATTAATTATGTAATTCAATTCACTTATAAGATTATTCAAATAAGCGAGAGCGTTGTAAAATATATATCTTTCTTAATAAAAATATTGTGTCGAAGAAAGATGTTATTGTAACACATTGAAAAACTGCTAAAAGTATGCCTTTCTAGTCGATATTTGCATTTATTACCGTGTAAAAAGTCCATAAATTTCCACATTACTGTTGCGAGAGTGAAGGAATCGACTGCTGAGTAGTGTTATACATTCGTCAATGATGTCCCATTGTCATTTTGCTCTCAGTTATTGTATTTACACAATATACAGTAGACCCCCCTATAACGCTTAGATACGTTTCACGCTAAACGAAAATTACGTTGTAGGAATGATTATATACATGAGCCAATCGCAGCCCGATAGGTGGGAACTTTACGGACTAAGGCTGTTTGATAGGTTTTCTTCTATAAAATTAACCGATTCTAGACTAATTCCACTCAACATTTCCAAAATACGTATAATTTTTTGGGAATAATCTGTATAAACTATGCTATAAACAAAAAATTATAGGATTACTTACCGAGTGTGTACCGTTCGACTACGCCGTTGCTTAAAGCTGGTTTTCATCGCGGAACAGCACGCGAAACGACGGCCGCAATTTCTGATAACGAATTTTTGGCAGAAAAATAACTTGACCTTTGGAGACATCATTAATATAAATAATTTTTATGGCCGTTGAATAAGAAGTGTTTCTTTCACAAGAAATGTATAAAATTAGTGCTGTATTAGACTTACGGTACCTAATTTACATACTGTACAGACGATAATAAACTCAACTTACTAGCCTAAAATCTCCGTAGCGTGTTGCCAGGCGGCAGAAAGCATATATATAATTATAATAAAGTTACAATAAATTAAGTTAATATATAATTATATATACAGTACCTAATTTATATATAATTAATATATAATTATATGTACAGTACCTAATTTATATATAATTTATATATAATACTAAACAGACGATAGCAAACTCAATTTAGCCGCTCCGTAGCGTGGCGCAGGGTCGGAGGAAAGTAGTTCGGCTGCTCATCCACTATTGGTCCAGACTCTATCAATCTTGTCGCGAAACGACGTTATAGGAGGTATTTTATACGGAACTTTCTACAATTTTTTCGCTACGTTATAGGAATTGTCGTTATAGGAACGTACGTTATAGGGGGGTCGACTGTAATAACTAAAATGTTTGTTACTAAACTTTAACTCCAGATTAAATTAAATAGAAATATTTTTTATTATTATAAGTGTTCGTTTAAAACAAGAAACTAGTATATTAGGATTTAAAATTTTTGAATATATTATTAAATATATTGTTATATTTCAGGTATCCAATTGATATCAATTCGAAATCCTCCAAACTTGAAATTTCTGCTATAAATTTAGGTGGTGTCACAACAGATAAAGATAATGTTGTCAAAGCTTTCAAAGCGGTGCGACTGCTGTATTTTATTGATGGCGGCAATTATACGAAATACGAAATTGCTTCATTGTGGGAGGAAAATTTCTTAAAATTGATAAATAAATTGGAATTCGAAACAATAAAAATTTCAGTACTTTCTGGGAATAGCATCGAAGATGAGTTAAATAATTTAACAGTGAATAACTTACCAAGTATAATCATTTCGCAGATTATTGTGTGTTCTTTTGCTGTGCTAACTTGCATGACTACTGACTGCGTAAGTAGCAAACCATGGATTGGTGTGGCCGGATATTTATCATCCATTTTAGGTGCTGCTACTGCGTTTGGATTGCTGTTGCTGTTTGGTATGGAGTACGTAGACATGAATACGCTCGTTCCTTTAGTTGTTCTAGGTTTGATATTGCTAATCACAATAGTCTATAATGAAAATTGTTTCAATTTTCGTTTGGTATTCTATATATTACGACGTTTTCATTTTAGGTGTTGGAATTGACGATTCCTTCGTCATGTTGTCAGCTTTCAAGAAAACTAATCCAGAAGATGATATACAGAAACGAATGGCTGACACATATTCAGAAGCTGCCACTTCAGTCACCATTACTACACTAACAAATGTGGCATCATCATTTATTGGTCTTACACTACCGTATTCAGTATGTAGAATAATGTGTGTCTACTTGGCATTTAGTTTTGTATTTTCTTATCTATATCAGCTACTGTTTTTTGGAGGATGTCTGGTGTTAAGCGGCTACAGAGAAAGTAGAAATCTGCATGCTTTATACTGTTCACCTGTGAACTGGAATCAGACATCAGGTAAATGTGTTTGCATTAAATTACTTATATAAAATTAAATAACACATTTTATTGAAATTATTATCATATAATACGGACATTTGAGGAAAGGATTTTAGATGTTAACAAATAGTGTTATTTGCGCAGTGGCATATTTAGAATTTTGAAATTATATGCAACTTTTAATGTAGACTGAATATGATCTAAGAATCCTGTAGTTTTAAATCATTGTTATTAGAATTACTACAATTACATATTCTTGTATAATTCATAATACATATTCCCATATGCACAATTATAAAAATTCACATATTGCAAGTAATTAACGAATATTTTTACATTTATAGGTTTAATGAGAATAATAACAGTTGGATTTTCAAGTAGAAGACAATCCAATTTAAATACCGAAAAGTGGAATTTTTACAGAGACGAATTAGGTAGAATACTGAGTTACAGAATAACAAAGTTCATTGTTGTTATCGGTTTTATTATATTTATATCGTTCGGAATATATTTCACAAATTACATAAAATACGATTTAATATATTCTAACTTATTTCATAAAAATTCTTATGCTATCAATTTTGTCGACGATAATTTCAAGTACTTTTCTGAATACAGAGATAGAATACAAGTAGTTATCAATTCGCCATTAGATTACTCGAATAAGAAAGTACAACAGCAAATTGAAAATTTGACAGTTGATTTAGAAAATGTTCCCGGAATGAGTCGATATAATCTGACTGAATCGTGGTTAAGAGCTTTTATCAAATTTGCTAAAAATCCGTTTTCTTGGGTCTTTTTAAGTGAATACAATATGAGCCATCCCGAGCACTTCGTGAAAGCTATCCATGATGTATTCTTCAAATTCAACTTTGCTAAACGTTTCAAGAACGATATTTTATTCGATAAAGACAAGAAAACAATTATTTCTTCTAGATTTTTTGTAAATTCTAAGACAATCGATGGTTTTGCTAAACAAATCGAACTTCTTAATCATTTACATGATGTGATCGATTCTTCTGGTTTGGATGTGATGATTTACTGTTACGAATTCTTAGCTGCTGATTCATTTGTAAACATTCTCCCATACATAATTCAATGTGTTTTTGCGAGTTGCCTAATAGTAATAGTAATATTCTTCTTATTTATTCCAAACTTGCACTGTGTAATTTGCGTTAGCTTCAGTGTTGCGTCAGTTGTCACATCGGCAATTACTTATGCCTGTGCCTGGGGTGTAACTATTAATGCACCTCTTTTGCTTACGTTAACTCTTCTTGCAGGATTTTCTGTTGATTACGTATCTCATATATCATGCGCTTTTGTATGTAGTAAAGCGGATACACCGGAAGAGAAAATGAAACATGCTCTACAAATTGCTGGTCATCCTATTATTCAAGCTACAGGTTCGACAATTTTAGGAATTTCGTCTATACTTATTAGTCCTAATCGTATGTTTCACGACATTTTTAAGATTGTGTTTTTGACAGCACTATTTGCTTCATTTCATGCACTATTTTTGTTACCTGTTCTGCTTAACATTTGGGATAATATTGTTTTAATTATCAGAAAGAAGAAAAATAGTAGAGAGGAACAGCAACTGTCTAATACATCAAATGTAATATCACAGTTGTTAAACAATACAGATCGAATTAGTAATAATACGTAATATAACGTTTAAATTCTCAAATTGCTTTCACTTACTCATTCTGTCATCACTAAGTTTTTGAATATTGTTATTCTGTTATGTGTTCGATACATTTTAGCAAATTATCCTTTTTAATGTATTCCTTATTTAACAATTTTCAGAGCTATTTCGCAGTCTGAATAAACCCGAATTTGGTATGATAATAATATAGCGCATGTTGATTATATTTTTATACCTAAACTTATAATTATAAATTAAAATTGTGATTTGTGCTATTAATGTGGATTTGCAAGAGATAATGCAACAGGTACTGTGTTATATTTTTCTGCTGTATTCTATCGTGTATTACAGAAAGCATTCACATATGTTTTACATGTCATCTTCAGAATCTTTAATGAAGAAAGACAATTGCAATTTTACAAATATTCCTCTTTTGTATTTCACTGCATTTTTAAGCTTTTTGATTCACATTCTTTTTTTAACATTGGGGTGAATCGTAAAGAATAATTTTTCAACAACACATACAATTTGAATGCTTTATTTTAAATACAGTAATCCTTGAATTTCGAACGCCACGCTTTCCGAACAATTCGGTTTACGAACGAGCAACTCAGCACAGCCAGCCACAGATGGTGAAGTTCCTATATTTTCTATGTTAATTCAATGCTCGACCAATCAACGACAGAACTACCGATTCAGAAGTTAGTGGCGATGAGATCGCTTAGCCTCATTAGACGAATCATCGATGACGTTACTATTTTAATTATATTTCAATGCTCATACGGGAAAGATACTACTTTCGTTTTTCGGTTCGCGCTGCAGTTGAGTTTAAATTAAATTAATTAATAAAATCGGCGTTAATTGACATTCAATTCACATAATATCATTTGTCCGCATGTCTGTCTGTTTTCTGTTAATCTCAAGAACGGAGTAAGACAGATGAGAGTCGAGACTAGATGTGGAAACGGCAATGGAAGTAGGCCCAAATACTATGTTGGAACTTCTGCTGTAAAACGGAAATTACGTTTTTTCAATTCGGTTTTCTCCCCTGAAAGAAGTTAATTAATGATTAACACGAGTCTACTGTTCAAGAAAACGCAGGGGCAAGCCACTACTAATTTCAGAAGGAGAGCTTATCTATATATAGATAATATTATATTATATTGCCTTTATAGGCATTTATATGCATGAAATTCATCTTAAAAAGGTAAAAAAAATCTTTTTTTTTCTGTAGTTGGGAACATATTAATTAATTTAGTTTTATTATATAAATTTTCTGAATTTCGTACATAAATTTTAATTTCATCCGTGATTTCATTTACGTTTAAGTATAATAGGTCTACTATTTTTACAAGTGTATTTTGATCCAGCCTACTTACCTTTTTTATATTTTGTACAACAATTAGTATGATTGTTTACTGTAGAATTTTAGTATTTTGTTGTAATATATGTTTCATTTACGTAATACATGCGAAATTACTTCATTATTGTAATGTTTGTTTAATTTTATGTATTTTATGTTTTATTGTTAATTAACTCTTCAGGAGTGTTTTGTTTGTGATTCATATTTAAAGCAACCGCATGACTAATATACGCGGGTTTTTCAAATATGTACAACAGGCAAGTCTTAAGACCTGACGAAGGTGACATTTTAAAATATTACCTGTGATATTCGAAGTAAAAATTTGTTATGTAAATTCTATGTGCCGAAATTCGTTAGTAAGTTTAAATTAATCGCACCACTATTAAACATCGCCTCTTTTAATTACAATCTGTTCCGAAATGATAGAATCACTGTAAAAAATGATGGCATTAATAAAATAATATAAACTACAATACAGATCTTCATAATTAATAATTAAGCAGTCATCCTTCGGCCTGATTGGTTTAATTCCTTCTCAATTTCTGTCATTTTGTCACATAAACACTCATTTTTTCCCTTTTGTAATTGTTTGTAAAGAATATTACAAACAGTAACAGAGAAATTAATTATTGATTTATAAGGATATCGTGTAAAAATTATATTATCAAAAATAGTAATAAAATAAAAATACAAATGAATTTTGACAATGTTGTGTAATATTGTAATATTACATTATTCATAGTGTTAATAAAATATTAATTGGAAGTCTTTTCGTTTCTTAAAAATAATAGTATTGTCAAAACTTATTAATCAGTAGATATATCTCTGGTATCTATTTGATATATATGAATTAGCAAGAACGATTCACGAAATTATTACTGTTATACGAAGGTTAAATATATTTCTCAGATACCTTCGGAATAAGCAACACAATTCGACTCTTAATGACTATCTTCTTAAAATGTCAGGTTTCTTCGACGAAAATGAATAGTGTTGTTCCATGTAGATACTTTTAGAAAACAAACGATTCCTTAATTGATACGCAATAGCATTGTCTTCACTGATAATATTGATAAATAAACGTGATACCTCTCGCTATGCATCGAGATCAGCAATGACGATGGATTATTAATTGCATTAAGTCGTACAATGAGGTTTCTTTTTGTAATTAAAACGTAATATTTTTCAACCCTAACTGTTGGTTTTCATAGAGTATTTTGTATATTTTAAATTTATCTTATTTCCTTATTTTGTTTTTATCATTCTTCAGTAAGTTGTAAATATTAGATGCCATTTTGTACAGAATCTTTATGTTTTTTTTTTTTCAAGTTGCTATTTTATTTATTATGTTTCACAATCGTTTGTTCTATTTAAATTATTGATTCTGTTAATGTTTTTAAAGTTCTATTTTTATATCCTACTAACTCCTAATGTGTTTTTCTATAGCATTCGCTGACGTACATATAGTAGTACCACGTTATTCAAAAATCATTTAAAACAGACTTCATCAGAGAGGTAGGTGTACTGTACTCATTACAATGAAGACCGAGTGGGTCCCAAAGCAGCAATTAATACTTTGTTCATTATTCCATGACATTGAATGACGGCATGGTTCTAAAGTCAATACGTCAGTCAGTAATTAAGTTTACGCACGTATAACGTCTAACATACAGAAAAAAAGCTCCAAATGTACGGTCCTGTTAATGGTTTCTGTGAGCACTACTGTGTATGGGATAGTTGTGGATAAGAAATTGTAATGTTTCCGAGGCGTGAAATACCCCAAGCAGCTCTCATGCCTCGTGGGTTTGGCAATTGCCCCATTGTTAACACATTGCTACGGTTCGAATCCACCATTGATTTATATGTCTATCGGTTGCGAAATAATGTCACACTTTTTCCTTTCTGAATGGCAATCAGAATAACGACTTTTTTATAGCCCAAGATATGAAGCAAATTGTTAATTCGATAAGAGTATACACTTTTTTCTGGCGAGTCCTACTTGTTGTTTCACAATGTATAATGGCAACAAATTGCATTAATTTGTATATTCGTAGTAGTAGTTTAAATATTTAAATGTATGTAAAACTGTACGAGTTATAAAATATTTAAAATACAGCAAATAATAGTAAAGTCAATCGGATAGAAAATCAAAATCATATTAATGCCAACTTTATTTATATAATAAAAAAAAGTAATACAGCAATTACCATTGTGCAAAAGAATACAATAGATCTGATTTCGTGTGTTTATAACTATTCAAACTTTAAACATAAATATTACAATTACAGATTATTTTTCGAACTGGTTAAGAAATTGCTTACTACAAGTTATTATTATTTGCCTTAAAATTCCTTTTATTAGAACCCAATTTCATCTACAATCCACTAAAACATATAATTTTGAATTTATGCATTTTTTATTTTCTATGATAAAAATTATAATGTAAAGCATTATCAGGCTATCTTTATGAGATTTTCTACCCTTTAATATAAAGAGTTATACGAGAAACTAACATTTGCAAAACGCAATATACTAATCAATGTATAAAAGCATTAAATTTCAGCTATTAATCTCATATTATTATTTCGGTTTAAAAACCCTAAAACTTTTAATATATATCGATATTATAGTGTCTTTTCTATTGATTGGATTATGGATTAAATTATAATAACTAGTACTTTATATAACCAGTCCAATTGTATAGAATTATAATATTTATCCTCAATGGTAAATAGGTTTGTATATACACACGAAATCAAATGTATTCTCTCTTAGTTTGTTCTCTTCTATTGTAACTGCTGATTTTTATACAAAGTGCAGTTACATAGATAAAAACAAGTCAAATACAAACACGCAAAAGACTATTGTAAATTCTTCCCTACAGCATTGTGTTGGCAGTCACTAAAAGAGACATGATTTATTTTCAGATTCTCTTAGCAATGATCTTTCATTTATCATCTGCTGAATTTTCTAACGGTAAGAAAACAATTACCATATTTAATAATAGAATTTTTGAACGTATTAGTTTAATTATTAAATAATTTTTGCTAAGTACAGAAAAAAATTAAATTGTTCTTTTACCAATCTAACTCAATATAGAATGAATATGTTGTATAAACCTGCTAAGTTACTAATTACATAAAAAATTAATGCATACTTATAAACGTTTTTTATAATATGGATCCAAAATTGATCGTATTTCTAGTATTATTTTGCATTCTTACAGAGGTAGTGAGAGATGAACAATAGGTAAAATATCTGTCGAGATCTAAATGTATATACGGTATTGTTAATTCTCTTAAAACACTATAAATAGTTTAAGAAAATTAATAACAGAACTTACAGTTTTATGATAGTATAGAGGAAAATGTAGACAAATTTGCTGTGTAATTATCGACAATGCATACTGTTAGCAAATTCACATTTATATATTTATATAGCCTAGATGTTAAGAGATCATATATAATAGATAAGAAACACCGTACTCAGTAAAATTTGAATAAAAATTCTATTGTTTTAAGGTAAATGCTAAGTAAACATCTCATTATTTTTGGTGTATAAAGAGGAGACACTAACATATTAACTTCTTATTTGAGAAACGATATACATAGGGGAGACCGGGGCAAGATCGGCATGTTAAGTTTTACTTAAGTTTTGT